GAGATACCAACCAAAAAACCACAGGAATCCGAAATGAAGCAAGCATTGACATGGACACAGATAAAGCGCAGGGGGAAATGGAGACTATGAGCAAGGGCATGAGATATTCAGCTTTCGTCCTCCCTGGAACAAGCCAAGGAGCTAGGATTTTATGCTGTCGATCAACTGGGATAGAAAGATTCACATTTCAGAGGCCATGATGGTAAGAATATCGATCATGCACCTTCACTGCCGAATTCTTGAGTCCATTCAGCGTTCCTTGTGAGATCCTCACCGCTAACGGTTGGCCGAGAGTTCTTCACTGCCTTGATGAAATCTTTCAGAGTGAGAGCTGGTTCCAGAAGCTTATCCGCGTCGACGTCGAGCCAACTCATTTCCAGTGCGCCCGCATCCCCTGGTGAGCAAGGCGTGAGTTTCTCTGCGCCCTCAATGAGTACCTGTAACAGAGCCGGGTCAGTCGCCGTGGATTGCAATGGTGGGGACTGAGTATACGTACCTTCTTATAATGTGTTGCTCCTTGAATCTTGCGGATTGGCTGCATCAGTGCATCCTGTACGCAAATACTAATATCGCTACCGGAGTAGCCCTCGCTTAGATCGGCCAATTGGCGATAGTCGGTCTGGGTCATTTGGCACGGCGTCGAGCCCACGGCTAGCATGAACATCTTCATCCGTGCATTGAAATCGGGAAGACTGATGTGTACTCTTCGCTGGAATCGTCGCCGAATAGCAGCATCCAGTTGCCAGGGGATATTGGTTGCGCCCAGAATCAAAACACCCTTCGAGTCTTTGCCGACACCGTCCATCTGTACAAGTAATTCGGTTTTGATACGCCGTGAAGCCTCAGACTCTCCTTCGCCACGGGGTCCGCACAGCGCATCGACCTCGTCGATGAAGATAATTGCGGGCTTATTCTCACGAGCCATGTTAAACAACTGCTTCACAAGTCTAGACGTGAGTTAGTACGCAACTCTCGAAACTCCCGTAGATGAAGATGTTGCCCTACCTTTCACTCTCACCCATCCACTTCGAGACCAGGTCACTACTGCTGACACTGAAGAATGTACTGTTTGCCTCAGTTGCCACGGCTTTGGCAAGATAAGATTTTCCCGTTCCCGGAGGACCGTAGAGCAAGATACCCTTCCAAGGTTGACGCTTGCCAGTGAACAGATGAGGAAACTTGATGGGAAGAATGACAGCTTCTTTCAATGCTTCCTTTGCATTCTCCAAGCCAGCAACATCCTCCCACTTCACGTTCGGCTTGTCTGACAGAATAGCTCCTTGAAGCGCCGACCGAAGCTTTTTCGCATCCGCATCTTCGCCGTTATCGTCGTCTTCCTTCCTGTACAACCCAGTGTTGTTAGCGGGGATAACGTAGGACAATAGCTTACTCGTTAACACTATCTATCACACATATGGGGGTGCTAGAGCGAGAAACTCTTGTCCAAAGAGGTCGAGTACATACCCTCCCTTCCCACTGCCTTGCGCCACTTTTCCATTTGCGCCAACCGCACTTGGTTTTTTCCGGTCCTCGGCAAGGTGATTCTTAAGCTTCTCCGCGCGATCCATATACTCGCCGGCCTTTGAGCGGATCATCTCCTTCGATTTCGGGTTCTTCTCCCATTTCAAGGCCAGCATGAACAACTCGAGTGCGGAGTAGTACATCTGATAAGCCTTTTCGTACTCGCCATCGTTGTCATTCTCGATCGCCTTCTTGACCGTATCGATCGCCCGCCCCAGGAAATCGGTATTACTCATGATGGGCAATGCGTGTGTTGTCTGGGGTAGAGGGAGCAAGTCGACCGCGGAGGCAGATGTGATAAAGCGGGGAGAGGGGCGCAAGGGTTGGGGGCAATGGGCCAAGGCTGGAGGGATAGGTAACGAGTTGCTAGAAGAGAAAACTTGAAGATTCTTTGGTGTAGAAGTAAAGAGGTACAAAACAGCCCTAGAACCGAGGGTTGATGGGAATTGGAGGGGAAAGTGGGAGTGGAAGTTGTTTACGGGCGGGAGCCATTGATTTTCCCTTCTCCCACTTCACCTCCAACTTCACCATGGACGCCCAGAAACAGCTTCAAGCACTCTCGGAGGCGTTCCAGGGATTGCAGACCGGTATGTCTAGGTATCTAATTAAACACAGCAATAGCTACTGACCTTTCTCGCACATCCAGAGCTTGAAGTTCTGGTCGACGCCCGCCAGAAACTCGAATCGCAGCAGCAAGAGAACGAAGGCGTACAGACCGAGTTCGCCCAGCTGGACGATGAGTCCAATATTTACAAGCTCGTTGGCCCGGTGTTGCTGAAGCAGGATAAGACTGAAGCTACCATGGCCGTCAACGGTCGGTTGGAGTTCATTGAGAAGGAGATGTTAGTGCTACTGCTTTGGCCACTGTGAACCAACGAAAATATGTGCTGACTGAGAACCTACAGCAAGCGAATTGAAGGCGAGATTGAGGCGACACAAGAAAAGAGCGAGAAGATGCGCTCAGAGGTAAACCGCCCTCATCCAACTACAATCCACCACCCCACCATATGCATATTCTAACCCCTCACCCAGCTCATCCAACTCCAAAGCCAGGCTCAACAGCAGGCTGCTGCCGCTTCGGCCTCCGCATAGACTCAAAAGCTCCCTGGACCCGCAGGCGAAGAAGGATACATCACCCGGAGATGCAATAGGTGGCGTGCGAGCTACGAAGCTGACGTCGGATGGAATCAACCCTCAACTGGTTCACTGTGATTCAGTGCATGCATTATGCAACTGTGAACACTATTATGGAGGTAAGATATCTCGAAGAATGCTTGGGCATTGATCAAATCCCAATTGAGTTGGGATAGCTTGGAGGAAATGTATGATCTGTGCAGGTGCCTCACAGCAGAACGGCGCATGGATCAGTTTAAAGATATACCCTCGAAATTTAATGCAACGCTATCAAAAGTGATCAATTGGTCTTTGGATGTGGAATTATCCAATAGTGTTAGTCATTTTGACAATCGACATGCACAATGAAATCTACCTATACCTATATATGTAGGTTAATCCAGGTCTTTCCATAATGTTGCTTTATGCCCTCGACCTTTCAATAATAATTCCCTGCCAAGAAGGATGCAATGAAACAAAGAAGGCTTTGAAAGCATCCCCAAAGCAGCTAGAAGATGTATAACTTCTGATACTATAAAAGCAAGGAAAGATCATGTGTATATTGACAAGATTCTATTCATTGATTCATAATCAAACATTTATGTACGAAAAATTGTATCTAGGACTTGACAAGCAGGTTGGCACCGGTCATCTCCTCGGGCTGCTCGACGCCCATGGCGGCGAGAACGGTAGGCGCAACATCACCCAAGACACCGCCCTTCTTGAGGCTCCAGCCCTCAGGGGCGTTGGCCATAACGAAGGGAACCTTGTTAAGGGTGTGGGAGGTCTTGGGGGTGCCCTTCTCATTGATCATCTCCTCGGCGTTTCTGCGAATGTGGGTTAACTAGCAATCCTCTTGATGAAAAGTGTTCCTATTCCGCAGGATAACTTACCCGTGATCGGCGGTAATGAACAGAACGTAGTTGTTCTTCTTGCAAGCCTCATAGATCTCGCCAATGGCCTTGTCAGTGGCAGCAACACCCTGGATGGCGGCCTCGTACACGCCAGTGTGGCCGACCATGTCGGGAGGGGCGAAGTTGTTCATGACAAAGTCGAACTTCTTCTCGCCAAGGCGCTCAGCCATCTTGGTACCGACAGCAGCTGCACTCATCTTTGGGTCAAGATCGTAGGTAGCAACTCGGGGCGAAGGGATCATATCGCGGGTTTCGCCAGGGAAATCCTTCTCGATACCACCGTTAAAGAAGAAAGTAACGTGAGCGTACTTCTCAGTCTCAGCAATGTGGCACTGCTGGAGGTTCTTCTTGGCCAGCCATTCGGCCAGCACATTACCCATGTGCTGCGGGGGGAAAGCAACATCGAAGGTGTAGTCAGTCTTGTACTGAGTCATGGTGGTGAGGGAGATGTTCTTGGGGTAGGGGAAGTCTGGACGCGGGGAACGGTCATGGTCGCCCAGCAGCTGGGTGATTTCACGGACACGATCCGAGCGGTAGTTGAAGAAGAAGAGGGTATCGTCCTCTATACATGCTCAATTAGCTGTCATGACATTGTCTTTTGGGCTCGGACCACACATACCTTGGACACGGCGCTCCTTGCCGCCAACAATGATGGGTTTCAGGAACTCATCGTTCTCGTTCTTCTCGTAGCGCTCCTTGATGGTCTGTAGCGGGTCCGAGCTGTCCTCGCCCTCGCCAGTGACCAGACCCTTGAGGCCAACCTCAACACGCTCCCAGCGCTTGTCACGGTCCATAATGTAGTAGCGGCCCACGACAGTGGCAATCGCGCCGATACCGATCTCCTGGGTCTTCTCAAGAACCTGCTTCATGAACTTGTCGGCGCTCTTGGGGTCGGTGTCACGTCCATCGGCGAAGAAGTGGATGAAGACCTCGGGGATCTGCATGTCCTTGGCGACCTCGAGCAAGGCGAACAGGTGAGTGATGTTGGAGTGAACACCACCATCCGAGACCAAGCCCAGAAGGTGGAGACGTCCATTACCCTCCTTTGCACGGGTGAAAGACTTGACAACGCTTGGGACCTTGCCCATCTCGCCCTTCTTGAGGGTCTGGTCAATGCGAACACTGTCCTGCCAGACAACACGACCAGCACCAATGTTCAGGTGACCGACCTCACTGTTGCCCATGAGACCCTCGGGCAGGCCAACAGCGAGCGAGGAGGCATCCAACTCAGCGAAGCCCTGGGCGGTCTTGGAGTTGGGCTCAGCGAAGCCGGACATGTGTGGGGTATCGGCCGCGGCGATGGCATCTCCCTGGGGTGGGGAGTTGGGGCCTGCAATACCCCAGCCATCAATCACAACTATAAGGCTTATATTAGCCTACATATCTTTTGAGGACCTGGGTGGCAGTCAATCATACTCAAGGCAACTTTTTGGTCAGCCATAGTGGGGTTTGTTATCGTGATTGAATCACACCTAGAATTATATGGACATTGATCAATTGCTGAGCCAAAGAGAAAATTAACAGTAAACCGACAAAGCTGCTCACCTTTAAACAGATGTTTAGAAGAGAAAAGATCGAACGAAGGAGAATCAGACCACCAACGAAGAAAAAAAGGCCGCCGGTGAAGGAGGGGCGGCATGGGCCCCGACGTCACCGTCACCGGGTGCCAGGAGCGTATTTGCTGAGATAATCATGTGTTGCGGCCGAATCTACAGGGTGTCTTCCGACTCTTCCCTAAAAACTTACCCCAGCCGGGATCTACTCGTCCTTCAGATATCTTTCCTCGGGATCCTTTTAGTCAACATTACCGACAATGGCTTCTCGATCCCCGCCAGTGGGCACCCCGCTGCTGAAATCCCCCGTGCCCGAGACGCCCTTTAAAGACGCGCCAACACCAGCACCGCAAATAGTACCTTTCCCTTCACCACAGACCTTCGAGATAATCCCACCGTTGCATGGAGTTCTCTCTCGCCTGCTCTCCTCGAAAGGTCAACAACCCAGTTCATCGGACGCGCCCGGGGATACAACAGGGGTCCCCGGAGCTTCCCAGGCGCAGACCCAACAGACACCTTCAAACATCCCCAATGGTGGACACAATGGCAACTCTACCTCTTCACATGCTGTACCAGAAGTATCAGTCCTTGGTTCAAGTGCTCATCCGTCGCTCGATGTGAAAAACCTCCCTACCGAAACTAGCTCTGTCAGGATTCGAATCCAGAAGGCTCGTACGGTCGTTGAAGGACTACCGGATGTGCATCGGTCTGTCAATGACCAACAAAGGGAGATTGCAGAGCTGGAGGGTCGTGTGAGACGTTTGCGCTCTGTGATCTCTGACTTTGGGAGTCGAGCAGGAATGCTACATGAGGACAATACGAGGACCGTGGAAGCATGAGGACCCTGGAAGCATGGAGCTCGAACTTCGAATAGTCCAGTTCAGCATGGGAATTCTGAAGCCAGCCAGGTGCCGCATGCTTTTCAATTCAATTCAATTCATTTGGCGTTTATAAGAAGGAAATACCCTGATATTTTTTTAGCAATCATTTCAAAGACAGCAAGGCACCATCATTTCACTAGATGTGGCAACTCAAGCAATTCATAATCTATTTCATCTTCTCTCTTTGCTCTCTTTTCTCTCTATTCTCGGATGTTCAAATTGATTTTCCAATTCTGTAATTGTTTTGAACCTCAGTTGTACAAATTTGCCGCAGTTACAAATTTTATGACCTAAGACATCTAATCCGGCCAGCTCTCTCCGATATCGTTCGGTGTGTTAAAGTTCAGCGCCTGAGGCAACCGGCAGATCCCCTTCCCCCACCACCACTTCCATTTAATTTTTCCCCTTCTCTTCACCTCCCCTCATCCATATCCAAAATTTTCTGTTTATTCTCAGACAGATTACCATCCTTCATCATGTCTTACGCTCTTTCCGAGGCCCACCGGGACGTGAGTAACACATCTACCCTCATTTCTAGCATCTGGATCATTGACTCATCGATTACAGCAAATGCACAACAGCCTGGTGTCTAGTGACCCGGAGATTGCCTCCATCATGGTACGTCGAAACTATACAGTTAGGACCTGTAGTTGAATGCATTGTCCCGACTAGAAGGTTCACCTGTGCTAATTTTTCTATTCGTACAGGAGAAGGAAATCCAGCGTCAGCGTGAGTCAATCGTCCTGATTGCCTCCGAGAACTTCACTTCTCGTGCTGTCTTCGATGCGCTCGGTTCGCCCATGTGCAACAAGTACTCCGAGGGTTACCCCGGTGCTCGTTACTACGGTGGCAACCAGCACATCGACGCCATTGAGATCACCTGCCAGCAGCGTGCTCTCAAGGCCTTCAACCTCGACCCCGCCAAGTGGGGCGTCAACGTCCAGTGCCTTTCTGGTAGCCCCGCCAACCTCCAGGTCTACCAGGCTCTCATGCGTCCCCACGACCGCTTGATGGGCTTGGATCTCCCCCACGGTGGTCACTTGAGCCACGGCTACCAGACCCCCGCTAAGAAGATCTCTGCTGTTTCCACCTACTTCGAGACCTTCCCTTACCGTGTTGACCTTGAGACCGGTATCATCGACTACGACACTCTCGAGCGTAACGCCGAGATGTACCGCCCCAAGTGTCTGGTCGCCGGTACCTCCGCCTACTGCCGTCTGATTGACTACAAGCGCATGCGTCAGATTGCTGATAAGGTTGGCGCCTACCTCATCGTCGATATGGCTCACATCTCTGGCCTGATCGCCGCTGGTGTCATTCCCTCTCCCTTCGAGTACGCCGATGTTGTTACCACCACCACCCACAAGTCTCTCCGTGGCCCCCGTGGTGCTATGATCTTCTTCCGCAAGGGTGTCCGTAGCACCGACAAGAACGGCAAGGATGTCCTTTACGACCTCGAGAACCCTATCAACTTCTCCGTCTTCCCTGGCCACCAGGGTGGTCCCCACAACCACACCATCACTGCTCTGGCTGTTGCTCTCAAGCAGGTCGACACCCCTGAGTTCAAGCAGTACCAGGAGCAGGTCATCAAGAACGCCAAGGCTCTCGAGGAGGAGTTCAAGGTTCTTGGCCACAAGCTCGTCTCGGACGGCACCGACAGCCACATGGTCCTCGTCGACCTCCGCGCCAACAACCTTGATGGTGCTCGTGTTGAGGCCGTTCTCGAGCAGATCAACATTGCCTGCAACAAGAACTCCATCCCCGGTGACAAGTCGGCCCTCACTCCTTGCGGTATCCGCATTGGTGCCCCCGCCATGTCTTCCCGCGGTATGGGCTCCGAGGACTTCAAGCGCATTGCCCGCTACATTGATCAGTCCATCGCCCTCTGCAAGAAGATCCAGGGTGAGCTTCCCAAGGAGGCCAACAAGCTCAAGGACTTCAAGGCCAAGGTTGCCAGTGACAGCGTTCCTGAGATCCTGGCTCTTCGCAAGGAGATTGCTCAGTGGGCCAGCACCTTCCCTCTCCCCGTTTAAATGGGATATTGAGGTCCTCGTATGAGTTACGGAAAAATAAGGAGGGATTCTGAATTCAGGATCCCACGAGTTCAACATCATTTCGTATAACAAAAGAAAAATACATGGGTGCGTTTTTAGGGGTTAATTACCGGACTGCTTTTTCAACCTGACGCGGGTCATTGGGATATGGGAAATGCTTTTTTTGCATGTGAAACGAGCAATGTTATTTTTGGCGGTTGGGCCTCGCACTTATTCAACAGCGGGCTCACATGAATTTCTAAGGGGAAAAGTTCAAAATTAATTGGGCGTCCTATGTACATTCTACAATCTGTTCTCAACACAAGGATCTATAGAATCCAAGGACTATTTTCTTCTCATCTGCTTTCCAAGGCTATCCTTCTTACCTAGGTAATACCGTTGTGTAGTCGTCAATTGCCTTTCCTGGTTAGTCTTGCCTGATTTTTGGCCTTATACCTGGCAATGTGGCCGCATAGAACACCCAAGCATCGCAGCAATATAGTGACTTGTTTTGGTTCAAAGGTTAAACATAAAAAGGTATATTCCAAGCCGGTTTCACGGCCTATATTCTAACTACAACACCAATAAGCGGGGAAATGAGTAAAGAAAAGACAGAATATCTGGGGATATGTGTCGAATGGCTTTCAAACAGACTACCACTGGGCCGCATGAGTGGCCGATTATTCTTGTTCCTTATATTTAGGAATCTAGATGAATGGTAGAGAGAGCAGACCTCTATGGATGTATGGATTTGATAAATATTCATACCTCAGCGGAAACATATCAGTAGAGATTCATTGTTTGCTCAAGATTTATACTCTAACAATTGACTAGTTTTAAATGCATCACGCTACCAGTCCTCCCAGGCGGGTGAAAAGCTCAACTTCCATTCGTTCAGCTGCGTCTGGCTGCATGAAAATGCTGCCCATTGGATCTTCCTCAAGATCCTCCTCCCAAATCGGCACTGGTTCGGCATTGGCCCTTAATCCATTGTACAGGCACATCCGCAGATGCCAACGAAGGAGATCCGGGCTCACACGCTGGGTTCCGCTTCTGGCAGAGTCTCGGAGACGAGTGCCACCCATTCCCGTAGTATCCTTTCCGAATAAAATAATCTTGTAATCAGCCTATGTTTATGACCATTAGTAGGTTTCGGCGAAATAGCAGAAGGTCTTACATCAGGATCAATTCCAATTTGGAAGGCATCAAAGTATGCGTGCATATCCGCGCGGAGGAGAAGCCCATTCTGAGCAGAATAGAGGCCAGATTCTCCAATCTCACTATTGGGGCGAGTGTCCGTAATATAGCGCCGGTATCCGTCTCGTCTCCATTGCTCCAGCATGCTTACAGGGAAGACATGCGTAGCATCAACACCTTGGAAAGGCTGGTCTTCGATAACAAGGGTAGATGGCCCGGTAACTGTACAACACCTGTCTCTGTTGCGGAGGCTGTCGCGAAATGACTTCTGCTATAGAAATGATCAGCTCTATCGCTATATGCTTCTGGACATTCCTATGTCAACTTTACCAAGCGGTCTCGTTCATGCCGACCCTGGACTTGGGAATTGATGTCACGAGTTCTGACGCGGCGTGGAGCACACTCAGTTGTGAGGTTGACGGTAGTGGGATTTCCATCTGTACAGTTATCAACATTTGAAACCACAGTGATGCTAAACGTATCAAGCATACTTGTATCAAGGACAATGTAGCCGCCGGGACCGACTGAAGCCCGACTGCTAGACCGGAGTGCAGCGCCTGTTGTGCCGTTCCTCCGCAATTTGTAAATTGCCCACTCGTTCTCGTCGGGAAAAAGAAATATTAGTGAACAGTATCGATAGAGCATTTCGGCAGAAACGTATCGATAATGTGGGTCAGTTGGGATTTCCAGGGCTATAACAAGGCTGTCAGTTGTCTCACTGGTTCCTATGAGGTTATCGTGACTTACCAGCCAGAAGAGAACCGTTGTCCTGGTAAATCCGGAGGTTCAACCCTGGGGCTCTGGGTACTTCAAGGTTACGAGTGGCCATGCTGAAATCTATGAATAGAGAAACATGAAAAAGAAAACAATTGATAGAAGTGAAAGAAAAGTAACATGAGAACGCAACTCGAACGCCATACTTCCCGATTGGGTTAGCTTGATCCTGACGTCATGTGATAATGCTTTACTCACTGTCCACACTACAATACTGCCGCCGTAGACCGGGTCCACGTGGATTACTCTTCCCTAGTTTTCTGTCCCTGTCTCTTCCTCATCTGTTTCTGTCTTTTTATTTTTTGTGTCTTGCCCTTTAACTTTCGTTATTGCCCTGCTTTATACTCTCCTACGGCCTCTAATTTTTGCTCATTGAAGTTCCAGCATCGATAAGGACCCAGTATCTTATCGCCCCGGACCATTGCGGAGACTGCATACTTCCCCCAACTTGTCTTTGATTAAAGAACCCGAAGCAGTGCAGTATTTCTTGAAGAAATCACCAGTGAACCAAGAGAGAACAGGACCTTGCCCAACATGGCGAATACTGCACAATGTTACTATTGCTTTGAGTCTCTCCTCGCTTCATTCGAGGATCGCGAGCCCCCCACTCTAGCAGCCGTAGAGGCCCTATGGGAACAACACGAGAAAAATAAGAAGTTGTCGAGTCTTGAAGAGCAACTCGAAGTGGAAGGTACAGACCAACAACAGTCCGTAAATGAACAGGACGAAGATGACGATAGCAACCAATCGACCCAGTCGAATAGTCAGCACAAGAAGCTGCAACCCCGCAGAATCAGCCGTCTTCAGAGCCAATTCTCCGCCTCTTCCAGTGCAGCCACATCTTCGTCGTCCGCATCCAATACTTCATCCAACTCGCTACAGTCGAGCTCAACCAATATCACCACGCCAAGTGCGGTTTCCGAAACCCCCCAGCTGAGATCGCCTGATCAGCGATATCCCCTGTTCGTGACGTGGAATACCCTGTCACGAAGCGGACACAAGTCTCTACGTGGGTGCATAGGCACATTCGAGGGGCAGGAACTTGCAGCGGGGTTGAAGTCCTACGCTTTGACCTCGTACGTGGTTCCCATTGAAAACCCCTCTCTCACTATGCTACAAACAAAGGTACATTCCTATCTATATATCACACTGACTCACATACGATCTTGTTTTAGGGCTTTCGATGACACCCGTTTTGAGCCTATTCCCAAATCCCTTCTCCCCTCCCTATCATGCTCCCTCACCCTCCTTGGGTCCTTCGAGCCGTGTACAAATGCCATGGACTGGTCTCTGGGTAGTCACGGGCTGCGGATCTCCTTCATCCACCGCGGCCGTCGCTATGGCGCCACTTATCTTCCTGACGTCGCTGTCGAGCAAGGCTGGACCAAAGAAGAGACTGTGGAAAGCTTGATGCGCAAGGCGGGCTGGGATGGTGGTGGTAGCAGTGCTACACGGAGACTGCTACGCGGTGCAGCTGGTGGGAACTCCAGTGCTACTAAGCCCTGGGACCAGGTCTCGGATTTCCGTACTGTCAGATATCAGGGTCTCAAGGCAAGCGCTAGTTATGCGGTGTGGCAGGAATGGCGACAGTGGGTTCTCTCTCTAGATGACGGAGAGGAGGTCCTGGAAGGCGCGGATTGATTCGCGTTCATTTTTAGATCTCTTTGCTTTTCGTCCCACATCTCAACGCTTCAAGTGGGACTGATGATTATAATGACTATGATGATACTGCATCTTTAGTTTCCTTCGTGAGTTTTCCTTTAACTGATTTTCGGCATGGGTATAATAAAGGATGGATGGTAAGGGCTCGGACATCCGCAGTCATGATGAGAATTTGATATGACACCTCAGCTCTATCAAAGATAGTGAACAAGCATCCCAAACCGAGAGTCATCCGAGAATTATTGATTATAAAACACTGGCATAATTCATTGTATTTGATAATAGTGTGATATGCAGAGACATTGAAAAGCACCCAAGTAAAGCAAAAGTCCCAGGCCAGAGAAGAGCAGCCAATGATTCTCCCAAATCCGAATATGAATATTCCCACGGACGAAACAATCAAGCCAAGGATACATATCCACGCCTCCTAACGCGGAGTACGACTCCATAAACCAGCAACCATCTCCTTGACTCTCCGCTCCTGTGCCCGGATCTGCTCTTCAGTCTGCCCACGCGCATTACCACGACTATCAATTTGCATCTGAGTCGGACCACCAGCATTAACCGGCCCAGGTGGAGGAGCATGATGCTTCTCCTCGATAATCTCATCACCGTTAACACGCTCAGGCTTGGGATCAACGCTCATAACGCCATCCATCGTGAAACCGCCTCCCTCGCGGAGCTTGTTGATAGCGCGCACGGTGTCGATAGCACGGTGCAGCGTGCGACGCGCATTGAAGTTCTTCTTGACCGTTGGCAGCAGATCTTCGCCCGAGCCGACCTTCCCGCTGTCGTAGGCTAGATTGACCCATGGGTGCTGGAGAGCTTCGTGGGCTGTCATCCGTGACTGCGGGTTGACTGTCAGACAGCTGCTGATGAAATTGCGCGCTTCCTGTGATACACCGCGCCAGTACTCGAGCGGCGTGAAGGAGTAGTCTGCTGCTAGGATTGCTTGCATCTCTTCAAGATTGGAGTCCCGGTCAAAGGGCGTGTATCCGCATAGCAGGAAGTAGGTGATTACGCCGATGGCCCAGATGTCGCTGGAAGGGGATGGATGTCAGTAAAGGATGAAGACAAACAGCCGCAAATGAGATGAACTTACACCGGCTTGCCGTGTCCGCTCTTTTTGAAGATCTCCGGTGCCATGTATCCTGGCGTTCCGCAGGTTGTGGTTAGGACGTGGAACTGCTCCTCATCCATGATCCTCGACAATCCGAAGTCGGCAATCAATAGATCGGCGTTGTCTTCCGGCGTGCGGAAAAGCAGGTTCTCCGGCTTCAGATCACGATGCACGATGCCATGGTCGTGCAGATAGGCCACGGCGGAGAGTACTGCGCGGACCAAGTCTGCAGCGTCAGACTCATAGTAGCTGCCTTTACGACAGATGCGGTCAAAGAGTTCCCCGCCCAGGGCGAGATCGGTGACAAGATATACTAGAGAGCATCACTCGTCAGTGAGGGCGCGCTTGAAGCTATCGTAGAGGAGCAAAAAACACACAGTTGTTCATAGTCTCGAAGTAGTCGACCAGCGTGAGGATGTTCTGGTGGCCCAGCGACACCTTCTTCAATACCGCGATCTCATTCCTGACCTGTATATTTCAGAAGAGGTCAGTCATCCACTTATCTCCCGCAGTTGTAGTTCTCCCAGCACACACCATATGTTCCCGCCCGGACATGAGACGCTTGTTGATGACCTTCGCCGCATAATAACGACCGGTGTCGATGTGCACACATTCCTTCACAACAGAGTACGAACCAGCGCCCAGTGTCTTTCCGGTCTTGTATCGGCACGGTTGAACCTTCGGCTTCTGACCGCTCGGGGGTTGTGCCGCCATTGTGAATAAAACCAAGTGGGGGATGCGTGACGCAAATTATGGGGGGAATGGGGAATTCGTGTGACGCAGATGACGAGTGAAGGACTGAGCGCAGTGCTAGAGGGGTTTCGACTCGAGGGTTGCGCTATATATACGCCTGTCCTTATGTACCTGCGCGAGTCAAAATCAGTCTTACGGTCAAGTGGCACATCAGTCCAGCGCGAAGACCTAAGATGAGAGTGCGCATAAAACACTCACAGTTGGGCGAAAGGGCTGATTACCTGTGGACGGCTATCTGGCTTATGGTATTGCCAAGGGTTTCTGATGTTTTCCGAGGGCTGCGAGGGTTTGAAGTCGAAGATCGTGGGGAATCGCTGGCGGGGCTACTGGGAAGGGCTGAAACGTCAGATGAAACTATTAAACAGTTTAATTCCGCTAGAAATGAAAATAGAATGGAAGAAAATAGGAATTTGGATTATAAAAGCCGAAGTTTATTTAAAAAATAAACGACGCCGCGATTATTGGAGAGGCATTTCTGCCCAGTTGGCTATTTACATTTGCCCGACTCAACGCCAACCCAATGCCAAAAAAAAAAAAAAAAATCAAAAGTCCCTACAAAATAGTACATTCAAAATCGCTCCAGCACTTCCCCAACAATGTGCTCCAATAGTTGTAGCTTGTGGAACTTGGCCACGCTCTCCAACACTTGTAGTTTCTTCTCAATCTCCTTTCGATCAACTGTCGCAGTCCATGTACCACTGCAAGAACAGTGCTCCATGAAATCACTGATCTTCAGACTACTGCACTTGGAGCACTTGATATCCTGTGTCTGCCATTCAACAACGAAACCATGGACTTGACCAATGAGGAATTCTTCGGTCGCCAAACGGTCGTACTCAGCATGACAGAAGGGGCATCGCCAGGGCTGGGTAGATTTGCTGGCTTCTGCGCTGGCATCAGGCAGCACATCTTCGTCGCGACAGAGATCAAGATCTCGGATAAGACAGCAGGAGTTGCAGGACATTTCCGGGAGCTTCAAGCTAGCACTAGGGTTCTCGAATCGGCCCTCCTTGCTGAACTCTCGGACCTCGAAAAGGGCAAGAAGCTCGCGTCGCAGCAACCGAGATTCCAGGGTTGTTGTTTTGGACAAACTCAGAACCTGCATCAGCATTTTTGTCAACTCCAAAGATGGGTTGCGTTTGTCCGTGGGGCCGACTAGGACTCCTGGCAAAACGGGGAAGGCGTAGTCCGAGGCAAGCTCGGGATGAAGCATCTCGTCACGTTGTCTGCGGATCAATCCCGAGATTTGCTTCTTCAATGGCTTTGAGAATCGACTGGAGAGAATAGCAGTGATCTCATCGTCGTCTGCTTCGTTTGTCCGTCCAATAGGAATCTGTGTTGGCCGAGGCGTTGAAGAAAGATCTCCGTCTTGGAGCTCCCGCCGTTTCAAGCCATGCATCAGTTCGATGTACTCAACAATCCAGTCATGGAATATAGTCTGCATGGGCATTGGCAGGAACCGGCTGAGTTGCCAGTGCATCGCTGTTTCGAGATCCTGTTCATCCGCTTCGGTGACCTCT